ATCTTTATGCTTATCTCAGGCTCGCTGGCCATATGGGCGGAAGGCTGGTCTGGGTCCTGCGATGGTTTTCTCCTCACGAACCCTATGTTTTCCATTCTTGTCGATTTCAGTATATTCTCTGTGCATATCTGGGGCACGATTCTCGTGTGTTTTTACATAGGTGGCATTATTGTTAAGAACTTAGTGGACATTTGGGTAGTGAGGTACATCGGGGATCATTGTAGGCGTTCTTTGCAATCGCCAATCGAGTAATGTATTCAAGGTGGTCCGAGGCTGAGGACCTGGTAGCGCCACCATAGTGGTGGTGGCTGCTATTGTGGTCATAGTTTTTGCTCATTTTTCTGCCCAACTTAGCCTTCTTGCCCTGCAGGACTTGTAGTACAAGCCGCAAATCTAATGTATGATGATTTTGAGAATATATTCTATTTGAGATAGTGCTCTTTGGCCGTGTCTTGAATCAGATTCTTTCACTTTAATCAGCTTCAAATATTATAATTTATGAGTGAATAAAAGAGCTAAATTATTTTGCCATAAACACGTAAGGATCATATCTAATTACCACTTTGGGAATTTAGCTTTATGTTTTAGCTATGTGGCCTGAATATGTTAGTGCAATGTGATAGGTGTAAGCTGTATCACAAATTATATTAAGCAAAACAAATTAGAAAATTGATTTATAGTGATTCACTCTCAACGTTGTGAGCTATGTTCACTTGTCGGGGTAGGTTAAAAATACTAATAAGAAAAGGGTCTAGAATGCCCCCCAGGGCACTTCTCCACTGGCAAAGGACGGACGCTGTCAAACCTGACAGAGCAGAGGTCGTGAGTTCGAAACATGGGGCTCTTGGAAGGCAAGAATTTATTCTTGGAAGGCAAGGGAACATTTGGAAGGCAAGGATTTATTCTTGGAAGGCAAGTGGGAACTTGGAAGGCAAGGATTATTCTTGGAAGGCAAGGTGCAACTTGGATTGGCTTGCTTGGCACTTTGTCAGACCAGGTGGGGAGCGCTCGGACCCTGGCCAGTTGGAGGCACATCCTGCGATTAACCGGACTGTGTGAAGAGGGGCCGGATCACAGACCCAAGGATTAGTCTAGAAAAGGACACCTTTTAAAAAAAAAAAAAAAAAAAAGGGTCTAGAACAATGAATTCACACCGTAAAATTTGTGTCTAAAAGAAAATGATCCCTCTTTATAAATGGTGAAATATTGGGAAGTCCTCTTTATAAATAGTTCGACATGATTTTTCGTATTTCCACAAAACTTTTCGAAGAGAATTTGTCGAGCTAATTCGATTCGAGGTCGAATATTTCGTATTTCCATCTCAAGCAAGTAAAATTTGTGGGATTTTGCAATCTTGGTGGCATCAACTAAAGAATATGAAAGTAAATGCACATACACTAGCCCAGTTCTTGTTTCAACCCCCACAAATGGCTCTCACTCTTTCAACCTCCCCCGCCACGACAAAAACTGTCATCACTCACTTCCCGCAAAACCCAAAAACCTTAATTCTTGAACAATGCAAGACCACTAGAGATCTCAATCAAGTACACGCCCATCTCATTAAAACGCGCTTCGTCCAACACCCTTCCGTGGTTGAACCCCTCCTCGAATCGGTCACTCTCCTCGTCTCCGACGCCACCGTTGAATATGCCGAATCGATTTTCTGTGCACTCGAGAAGCCCGACTCGTCTGCCTACAATGTAATGATCAGGGGATATACGAAGAAGGGATTGCCCGAAAAGGCAATTCTTTTGTTCAGGCAAATGATCGAACACATGGTGGAACCTGATGAGTTTACGTTTCCTTCAATTTTGAAAGCCTGTTCAAGGCTTAATGCTTCGAGGGAAGGTGAACAAATTCACACCCATGTTTTGAAATTGCAAAATGGGTTTGGTTCTAAAGAGTTTGTTGAGAATGCTTTGGTTTTTCTGTATGCTAGTTGTGGTCGAGTTAATTTGGCGCGGCAAATGTTTGATGAAATGTCTAAAAGAAGTGCAATTACATGGAACTCGATGTTTTCGGGATATGTTAGAGGCGGCTATTGGCAAGAAGTTTTTGGGTTGTTTCGGAAAATGGTCGAAATGAATGTTGGTTTTAATGAAGTGACGTTGATTAGTGTGTTGACAGCTTGCGGGAGGGTCGGGGATTTGGAGTTGGGAGAATGGATTTCCGAATATGTAGAGGTGAAAGGGCTAATGAATAATGCTAACTTGGTTACTTCACTTGTCGATATGTATGCAAAGTGTGGCCGTGTGGATATAGCGAGTGGTTTATTTGATAAACTATGTACAAAGGACGTCATTGCTTGGAGTGCAATGATCTCGGGCTATAGTCAAGCCAATCAGTGCAAGGAGGCACTTTCTCTCTTCCATGAGATGCAAAAGACTAATGTGGAACCAAATGAGGTGACAATGGTTAGCGTGCTTTCTTCTTGTGCTGTCCTTGGAGCTCTAGAAACTGGAAAATGGGTTCATTCTTATATAAAGAAGAACAATTTGAAACTTACAGTCACACTTGGTACAGCGTTAGTTGATTTTTATGCAAAATGCGGGTGCGTGGATAATGCGATTGACGTGTTCAGAGTAATGCCTTCGAGAAACGTGTGGTCGTGGACTGTGCTAATTCAAGGTCTAGCTAATGATGGGCGAGGGAGAAGAGCTCTCGAATTCTACAATTTGATGCTGAAAGAGAAGGTGGTGCCAAATGACGTGACTTTCATTGCTGTCCTATGTGCTTGTAGTCATGCAGGTTTGGTCCATGAGGGTAGGGGCTTATTTGCCAGTATGAGCCGAGATTTTGGCATTGAACCAAGAATTGAGCATTATGGTTGTGTAGTCGACATGCTTGGACGAACAGGGTTGATTGAAGAAGCGTATCAGTTTATAAAGAGCATGCCCATTAAACCAAATGCTGTAATATGGAGAACTTTGCTGGCCTCGTGTAAAGTTCATAAGCATGTTGAAATTGGAGAGGAATCACTGAAGAATGCAATTAGATCGGAGCCTGCACACAGTGGAGATTACATACTACTTTCTAATCTATATGCATCAGTAGGCAGATCAGACGACGCTACAAGTTTGAGAAATGAGATGAAAGTTCTCGGAATTAAAAAGAACCCCGGATGCAGCTATATAGAATTGGATGGTATCATTCACGAGCTCTTGGCTGAAGATAAATGGCACGAGGAGTTGGACGAGATATATAGAGCGACAGAGGACATGGTTGAGCGTATTAAGCTGGCTGGCTATGTGCCTAACATTGCAGACGCAAGACTAGATGCTGAGGGACGTGAAAAGGAAGTTTCGATTTCTCATCATAGCGAGAAACTGGCCATTGCTTTTGGCCTAATTAGGACTTCCCCTGGGGCTGCAATCAGGGTTTCAAAAAATCTAAGAATATGCATAGACTGTCACAATGCAACAAAGGTTGTATCGGAAGTTTATGATAGAGAAATCATTATCAGAGACAGGAACCGCTTTCACCACTTCAAAGATGGGTCGTGTTCTTGCAATGATTTCTGGTGAACTTCTACTGGTTCAACAAAAGGGAAAGCCGTTGAGTTCATTAATATTTTTATTGTCTTGTATCTCATTATAATCTCTTTACGACTGGAACTGAAAGCATATCAATTGATTTCATATTCAGATTAACAAACTTCAAGCGCGCTATGTAGCGATAACTAGGTATAAATAACGTCAAATATGTAAAGAGCCACTAGGCAAGTTCACCGCACGTAGCTCGGAGAAGAGCCTAGGAGATTCACAACATTTCTGAAAACATCCCAGCAAAACACGATCAACAGGCACCATAATTAGCTCCTAACATCCTTACATTTATTTATAGCATTTATATACTAATATATGGGGTGATATTGGACCTTTTATTTAGAGATACTACTGCTCTTCAGCAATAAGATCCATAATCACGCGCGTAATACTTCCCTCGCTCTTCTTCAGCATTTTCTTGTTCAGTTCTGTATCATGAAAACCCTGCATCAACAACCCATAGAAACCAAATTAGACTCCAATGGTACTGAATCCAACTCCAAATTCATCTGAATTCTTAAAATATGTCGCTTGCTCAAAGATTCTGTATCACATTACAAGATATATAAATGGGGTTTTCTATGTCCCTTTATCAAAACACGAGCTCATTTGCTAACCTTCGGGACTCCATCTTTAACAGTATACATGTATCCTTTTGAATCAAGAGTACTTAAAGAAATAAGATTTCTCTTTAGATCTAGAACGTGTCTCACTACATCACGTGTTTTTATCATCCCATTAAACATCTTTATTCTGACTCGACAAATACTAGCTATCCGACAAGGTATATTATTATCGGTTATCACAATATCTTTGGTAACTTGTTCATATGTCGAAAACGAACCTTGATTAGGAGTCACATGAAAAGTGTAAGATATATCAAGCTCTCCATCACCGTTAGGATTTTCTATAATACTTGCTTCTTCTAAAATTTCTAATTTTTGATTTACAGTCAATTTTGATTTATTCTGCAACTTATAAATCAAGTGCCTATTTTTCTTACAATAATTACAAGACTTGAAGTTAGATTTTCACTTGCTCCTTGCACGACCACCATCAACAATGAAGCCCACTCCATGACACTTGAATGCTACAAGATGCTTCTTCTTTCCCTTTAGATATAAAGCATCATAGACTTTATCAATGGTAAGAGTATCACGATTATATGAAATTGTGTCTCTAAAAGACATGCATGAAGCGGGCAGTGAACACAATGGTATCAATTCCAAATCTTCTTCATCATATTTGATCTCCAAGTTCTCCAAAGTCGGCGATGATTTCCTTAAAAGCAGTTAGGCAATTTTCTCAAGAGATATATTTTCTGTCATACGATGAGAATATAGACGTTGCTTCAATCAAAATTTGCTAGTAAGACTCTTCGTCATGCATAATTACTCTAATTTTAACCATAATGTAGTGACTAACGTTTTTTTTCAAAGTAACCTAAAGAAAGATGAGGATACATTTGAGATAGGGCCTTTCGATCTCTCTGTTGTTTCTCTTCCAGGAGTCCAGATTGTGGGCATCTTGTCAAATTCCAACAATGCGTTGTCCTAATCCATTTGACTGAATACTGCTCACATCTTTACCTACCATAAAGAAAATCTTGTATTGCTAACTAATAGCAAAATTTCATACTTCATAGTTGTCATCACGAAAAATCAAGTTGAGCTATTAACTTGATCAAAATGTCGATCTTCCCAAGAATTTCAAAACCAAAATCTCATTTTTTTTGCGAAATGAAGATGATACCGAATTAATTCGATAACAAATTGTTAGAGAAAATAAAATAGTATAACCACAATATGAAACAATTGATCACAAGAACACGAAAACAAAAGAATTTGCAAAGAATTGAGATTTTATTATAATATGAAAAGGGATACAAAAAGTTTGTATTTGTAAATTTTTCTAACTTGTAAATCAGATTAAAGAACCTAACTAAATTGTAGAGAAGAGCAAAATATATGTAAGGAACAATCCAAGCCCTAAAAGTAGAGCAAAATATCTTGATATCTTTAAGTCTAATATGAATTCCAACTCCCAATAGGACTTCCAAATAGAATTTCAATTAGAATTTGTCAAACACACTTTGAATAGAATTTCAAAAACATTCCAAACAAAATTCTTCTTAGTGTGCACTCCAATTAGAACTGTCAATTATTCTCAACAAAGAATTCGGGTCATACCCAAATTCTAACACTAATACTATTCACTAACCACCAATTATCACATTTCCGTCTTTCTTGATTTTTTTTCAAGGTTTATTTTCATTTATTCCATTGAAATTTTTGGGTATATATGGAGTAAAGTATTTTTATGGCTTGCTTGTAACGTTATACACAGGTTAGTTCGAGACTATGATTTGTAGGTAACAATAACATTTGAATAATACATCAATAGTGCAATGTTATCTTGTGGATAAGTGAGTTTTAAAGACTAGTATAAGAAGAGCTTGTATCATTGTGCTAGTGTGATTGTACATATGGTTGTTCTGAATGATATGTTTTGGCTCAAATTATTTTTCCCTCAGCTAGGACTAATGCAAAGGTAAATCTCCATATATATATATATATATATATATATATATATAACAAATCTCTCCCATCAAAGGGGTAGTAGCATACTTGATAAAAACAGTATGTTTAGCTGAAATTTGCTAAAAAACAATATGACCTGAGACACAATTTACAAATCAAAAACTTGTACTCCGTCAATATACAAAAGAGGTTTTTTTTTTTTTTTTTACAACATTATACCATCTACTTCATTAAATAAGTCTATTCAGCTCTATCCCGTCTTACCCCTAACTCCTTGGACCAAGCTTGACACTTATCAAAGGAAGTACCATCGTCTAATAGCAGAAGATTGGATAACACTAGACAATACTTAGAAAAGGAAAAAAAGAAGTAAAACTGTACAGTATGCAATACTGTAGATGAACTGATTTACTTACTCAAGAAAGAAGTTTCAACCAGCTTTTCTCAACCAAGCCATAGCCACGAGACTCATAATTGTAGCACAAGCAACAGCATCGAGGCTTCTCTCCTCTAGCACAATTTGCACCAAATAAATAGAAATTTCTGATGTAATCTTATTTCCCTCCTTGGCAAGGACTCGATGCCGCTTCCTGAAAAGGACAAAAGCAACGATACCATAATCTATGTAACAACGGTGGTTTTGACCACAAAAACAAGCAACAATGCATAATAGCTCGAAGGCTAGCTTTTTTTGTCGATCAACGAGAGTATCATGCATAAAAAAATCAAGAAATAGAAGAGGCATGTTGTGGTTTTGGATCTCGACATGTCGTTCATTTCGTCTATGATTAGGGTTATTCATGTAATGAATGAACGAGAGAATTGAGGAAAGTGAAATGTGAGTTTTTGGGATGTTTTAATATGGGGATTATTTGTTGGGAAGGAATTGAATTTGAAAGCCATGTGATATAGCATATGGCAAAGTTGCAATGAGGGGTACTAAACATAGTAGTTAACTAACTTTAAGAACAATGGCTCATTAAATCGTCTATGTATATTAACACTAGTGTGGAGATTGAATAAGACTTTAAGGCAACGTGTCGAGGCCAACGGCTGTAGTTAATGGTACGGACTAACACCAACCATTACCGATGTACTTACTTTTTTTAAGTAGTCAATAGTGTACATCTCTTTATAAATATTAGATTATTATGCTTTCTCGATCTCTTAACTAGTGTAACTTGATGAGGTTTGAGCCTTTCTTTTTTCACTTTCAGTCTTTTGGAATTTAAACTTCCCAATGGTACAAAATAACCTTATTTTACATTTAAAAAATTATATATTTCTGTCCATAATTATTTTTATTGGGAATCGGCAACGTCATGTTGGAAAAAATTCCAACTTAGGGGCCACACATGTACATTTATTAGAATGTGTGGTGCTATTTTAAAGTAAATATAGTCGATAAAGTGATCCATTGGATTTAATTTTGGACTAATGGGTATTAAATTTTATGGGATTAAAGTGTAGAGACCAGAAGGTGTTATTTTGAATTGATGAGGGGCCGATTTGAAATAACTTAAAGTTAATAAAAAATCGTTACAAGAAAATTATTGTTTGCAACGACCAAAAAATGTTGCCATAGGTCTTCAACAAAATTTACCCGTATGTTGTGGGCTCTGATATTGTCATAGAGTCGAAGGACACAACAACGTGCAATGTATTGTTGTTTTATTATGCTTAAAAAATATATATTAAATTATCGATAGAATTGTCAACAGAGGACTCCCGGCACTAATATTCCATTTCTAATCCGTTGGTGAAAAGTTTAAAAATAAGTAAATAATAAATTAAAATATTTTCACTATACAATTAATTATTTAAATCATTTAATAGTAATAGTTACAAATTAAAATATTTTACCAATTAATTAAATAAGTATTTATTGTTAATTTAATAAATTATAGAAAATAAAAGTATAATTATAGAAAATTTTAAATAATTATTTTTCACCTTCATTTCATTTTCCACATTCTAAAAATTATTGGTGATGAATTAAATTATTACTACTTAACTAGAAATATTTATTTTTAATTCAATCAATTAAAAAACTAATCGTAAATAAATTGTAAACAATCAATTTCCATTTAATTTCATTTCTCCCTATTAAATTTTCACTACCCGCCTAATATTTTACTTGGCTTTAAAAACTTAATTTGACACTCAAAATATTATTTTGAATATATATCAAGCAATTTTCACTGGTGCTTTTCATTTTACAGTAGTCATATTTCAAAACCCTAACCTCAAATTCGTAACTTCATCTCTTCTAATGTATGCGTGCTGCCTCTCTCTCTCTCTCTCTCTCTCTCTCTCTGAGCACATTCAGAGAAAATGAAACCTCAAATCTCAATCTCTATCATCGTCGATATCAAGCATAGCCCATTTCCAGCCCCCAATTGCACATCCATAATCACTCTCAAGAAAATGGAAGAATGGTAAGTATGAAATTGTGGAAGAAGTTGAAGAGATGGAAAGAAGTCCAGATCTAGTGACATGGATTATGAGGAGGATGAACTGTTGTCAGATAGTGATCCTGAAGGAGAGGATAAACTGTTGTCAGGATCTCTAAGAGTTACCAACCGAGAAAAAGAGGGAAATGATACTTACAACACGCCAGCTGGCCCTTCTAAGCAAGGATGCCTCTTCTGCATCCGGGAAAAGTCAAATTGAGTTCCCAAATGGTTTACCCCCACAGCCGTCTCGAAGCGAGTATCTTTATTTCATTTTTCTGATTTTTTGTTCATTTCCTAGTTATTTACTAGTCATGTCTCGTCTTTGCCAATAACCTATGTTCCAGTGCAAAAGGAGAAATTGTCAGAAATTGAATAGCAATTGAAGAAAATTGTGGCCCCTTAGAAGCGTAGAATGCTAAATGAGAAAGCAGCCCAGTAATAAGAGGTTTGCCTTTTAATGTTGCTAAATTTTATTTTCATTTGTTTTATATAGCTTTTAAAACTTGTCAGAATGAGTATGGTACATTAAAAATATGCAAGCTTAAGCAATTATAAAGTAAACGGCCAAGATTCCAGTATGAAGAAATGAGGAGAAAGTGAAGAAGCAGGAGGAAGAGTTAGCAACGGCATTGATCTTTTACAATATTTAATGAGATGTGGGATTGAGATTTGTTTCTGATATGTAATATCAACATTTTCCTGTAGGCTAAGATAAACATTGGCCTTTTTCTCTGTGTTGGCTTGCAGTTTGAAGTGTCAGAATCAAATTAATCAGCTATTGGATCGAGTTTCTCCGGCAACATCCACATTTTCAATGGTATGCTGCTTTCAAACTTTAAAGAAGAGTATCTCTGTTTCTGAACTCTGTTTTTTTACTTAGACTTGCACTATTTAGGTGCATTGCATGATATTTATATGATAATAGTTATTGTTGCACTAATGAAGTGAATGAGCGGTCACATTGTCGTTCTCTAAGACATTAGAGATAATGTTTGTTGGTTTTTTAATCTATTTTGTACTCAAAGAGATGACAAGATGAGCACAAATGTAGATGTTTTTCCTTCATTAGATTGTATTAAAGATGTAAAAGGATAAAGGAAAGGCTTTGTTACCTTCTGATTGTGGAGTTAATGAATATTATGCCCATGATCTTCACTGATTATCTAGATTTGCCCAGCCATGATCTCACCTAGCATTTGATAAAAATAGATTTAAAATACCACCAGACTGACTTTGGTTTCCAATCTAGCTAGTTCAAAGTTGTGCATTTTATTTGAATTTATGATATTTATTACTTGCACAAATGTATTTTATATGCATGTATGTGTAGTGTAATGAATATATTTCTTTTGAGTTGATTTGTGTGGAGCTTTATGATGTTGGAAATTTGTCTTGTTTGTGATTATAGATGGCACTGTAATGGTACATTTGATGTACGCAATAGAACTGGAGGTTGTTTTGGAACCATGAGGTTCCATACTGAGCTGGCTCATGGAGCCAACAATGGCATTGACATTGCTTTTAGGTTCTTGTAGCCCATTAGGGAGCAATTCTCTTTCCTTTATCTTACTGATTTCTATCAAGAAGTTTATTGATTTAGAATGTTTATATTACGTAATTTGTTTGGTTTGCTTTATTAAATATATATATTTTTTAGAGAAATTGGATTATTTTCATCCTCATCTTGCACATAGTTGGCTGCTGGTGTTGTTGAAGTTACTGGAGTACGTAAAATTCCAATCCATCTAGGAAGGCTGGTTAGTATTTTTTTTTTCCCACTCAAGTGATGCATTTAACAATTTTATGTTTATAATCTGCATGTACAAATTGTGATATGCACATTTTTTGAGTTATTATGTTGTCTATTCATTATTAAGAAGCCATGTTTTAGAATGTGGTATAGCTTGTGTGGTTGTAAAGAGTAAGACACAATTTATCCCTTTATGAATTTAAATGTCTATTCATTTTTTGCATTTGAACTTCGTCTTAAATTTGTAGTCACATACAACTTGTAAGAATTGAACCTAGATGTTTTGCATCATTATTTATGATATGAGATATTTGATATATTTTTCCTCTAAATAATATTTTATTACTTTTTATATGTTCGTCTTTGACTAAAGTTTTGGAGCTTGTCCTTTCAGGAATCCTCATTTAACCAAATAACAAATTGTGGTTGAGCTGAAAGTATATCTTGGAGTCAAGAAAGTTATTTGATTGTCCTGTGAATTAGTAGTTATTTATTCAGTCTTTGGATTTGATTTTCTTCTTTTTAGGTTTGGTGAACTACACTAAGTAGTTCATTCATGAAATTGTTAGCATATATTTTATTGGTATTTGTTTTGGTTTTGGAGGTAACCAAGTTTGTAAATAATGCTTTGACCTATATTTATTTGATTGACAATTGAGTTTTTTTTCTATATTTTGAAATCATTTAAATTTTAATAATTGTACATTGAAGCATTTTTTTTCATAAATTCATGAGCTGTTTTTAGTAAAGTAGGTTACATTAACTTTATGTTGTGAAATAAATTTAATTACAAGCACAGCTTATTGCATAAATAAATACTATTGACAAAAATTAATTTATTCAATAATTTTATGTCGTAAAATGAAATACGTGACATGTAAATAATTATTAAATAAATTAGGCAACAATTATGCATCGCTGCACAAATGATGATGCGACAAACTCTGTGTTGTGAAATAATTTTAATTACAAGCATCACTTCTTACATATTAAATTGTACTTTAAATGTTGAATATATTTATATATATTATGCAACATATCAAAGGCGTTGTAAATTATATTTTGCGACAAATATGACATGTTATTAAAGACATATCACTACATGCATGTTTTGTTGCAAAATAGAATATGTAATAAAAAGTTATACTTTTAAAATAATATTCGCAACAAATATTTCTCTCGCAAAAACTTTACTACAATAATCGTTGCGACAAATGACTTGTCGCTCTTTTAATTTTTTGCGACAAATATGCGTTACGACAATATTATGGTGACAAATATCCTGTTGCTATTTCGTACTTTTTGCCTCAAACAAATAGTGTTGCAAGTTTATTACCGTGATGAATGATTAAGAGTTGTTGCAAAATACATTCCGTGACTTGTATAGTGCGACAATGCCGGCAACAAACATCTTGTGATCGCTAAATTATTTTTGCAACAAAAGATCAATTTTTGCGACAACAATTTTTTATCGCAAAATCAATTATTTTTTGTAGTGATTGATCTATGTCATTTGGTTGTATGGGTGTACGTGACCATTGATGGATTTAGTCACGCTAAATGTGACGAAAATCGCTTTGATCCTACATCGATGTAACTAATGGACGAGATTGTTTGGAAATACCTTTAATAACTATAGCACAATTTTGAGCTCATAAGTCTGTGCACATTTATAATGTAACATGTTTGGCCCAGTGGGAGATTGTTGAAAAAAAATTCCAACTTAGGGGCCACACATGTACATTTATTAGAATGTGTGGTGCTATTTTAAAGTAAATATAGTCGATAAAGTGATCCATTGGATTTAATTTTGGACTAATGGGTATTAAATTTTATGGGATTAAAGTGTAGAGACCAGAAGGTGTTATTTTGAATTGATGAGGGGCCGATTTGAAATAACTTAAAGTTAATAACTGCCAATAGCAGTTATTTTTAAAAGCGGTTATGGTCCCCAATTTGAACGTGATTTTCTTTGGAAAATATCTCTGCATCCCCATCAACAGAGACTTTGAAGAAAACCAAAAGGAAGGAGAATCACGTATCAATTGGAAGATCAAAACCCAATTAAAGCAGTAAGATTCATGGATCAAGGTATGTTTCCGCACTTTTTGTTGTCTCTTTGATTTCAACATGGAATTTATGATTTTATGAAAGGATTTTATGAATATGGTTCCTTTCAAATTTATGCAACACGTCACTCTTAAGTCCATGGGTTTGCTCACCAAAATTTTGGCAATCAAATGTCGTAAAAGGTGTATGTAACCTTTTCTTGTGAAGACTAATTAATTTAAAAACATAATCCAACAGAGTATTTCATCTACGACATCTTTACTTCTGAAGGGATAGAAAAATTTCCTGCTCGCGACTCGTCCAGTATTGCTCCCTCCCATTAGGTAAACGAGACGAAAAGACTGAACATGGACCCCTACCAAGAACTTGCAAACCCGCCATATTTTTTTAATTGAAACTATATTGAAAAATAATTAATTGAAGGGACAGAAATGAAAATATTCTAATCCCTACCTCTCTCCGTCCCGTCTCCCCAAAGTCTCCAAAAGGACCGGGGCGAAAATGACTATTTCGATTCCTTTGTCATCCCTAATTTTTTAAGTTATTTATATTTCCACTTACGTGTGTGCTCCTTATATTTGGAATCCAACGCCAATAAATTAAAGTATTATTTACAATATCTCCCAATTGGATTACATGTTTTCCGTCACTCTATATCAAAGGGTCCAAAACAACTAAATACTTAACAAGCACAAGAGTTAATATTAATTTTGGGTCTAAAAACCCAATACAAAGAAATATTTACATGGTTAATATACTGATTTCTGGCTGTTCTTCCGTCTGCATGTCGACCCATCTTTTTCGACATGCAATTCTCGAATTCCTTCGTGCACAATCTACTTTAAATGAAGGTTAGTTTCATCAGATTCTAAAGCAGGCCAAATTATTTGGGTAGAGCATGGATCTGGTTCTTGCTCAAGTTTACTTCCTTCATGCTGATATAGGTCGAAAATTTCATTCAGTACCTCTTAAGTAATATCTTCGTCAACCAACTATTTTATCATCATTTATTTTTTTACTAGGACAATTTAAGATTTGCTCGACATCCATCACATTTTTGTAGCGTTGACTTGAAATGGTTTCACTCAGTATATCAATGAATTAATAAATTATCTACCTCTCAATAAATCATAATTTCTTAAATAATAACAGATTATTCTTGTTGAACAGGGCCACGAAGGCCCTCTTCAAATAGGGGGCGACATGACGTCACCTATAAGCCTTGTTCATGTAATAGGCCTCAATATTAACATCATCCGGAACCACCTGACTTCAACTAAACATCAAATCCACACCACCTTCACAACCAAAAGCAGCACCACCTCCGTCAGCTCCTCAAAATCATACTCTAGATTATTCTTTTCACCACGCAATACGGCCCCATTCCAAAACTGATGCACCACCATGGACCATCGCCTGATCGGCTGACACCATATTCGATGCCACATAAGCATTGACGGCTCCTTGGAGGTCTATTGGCCGAGCAAAATGAACTTCCTCCGGCCCCAATAGTCCCATTTAACCCGATTTGACGATTCTCAGATTATAGGTGCTAGCGGCAACAACATTGCTAGTTCAACACTAATAGCAAGCCGAACGTATGACTCAAGATGCATTCTGAACTCTTCCATTTAATACTCCTAGATATTTTTGGAAGCTTCGACTTTCCATGGAAAGTTCACCTAAAATTTGGTATTTCTGCAATAGGTGGGGGTGTGGTGCACCTGATTTTTGGAAGAAAATTAATAGTACCTGATTTGTAAAATTGAATCTTGTAATTTAGGATGTCAGGTGATTTTTCCAAAAAATTTCGCCCTCGCCTTGCCTATATAATCATGTTTCTTTATTGAAAATGTTTTGTTTTGTTCATTTATTAATATACTCTTATTTAATTTACCTAATTATTTGGGGTATTCAAATTTTAATGACTTTTAGATACTTTTATAAAAGTCTCTGGAATACTAATTTTTAAGTAGAAAGTACTCATATAAAATTTTAAAATTTGTCTTTTATGAATCACGAGATTTTGGGAAACTTTCACAATTTTTTTCTGTCTTTCTTTCTTTTAACATTTTATGGACATGTATGATTAAAATTTATTTTTTTCTATATTTTATTCTTTCTCTCTCTTATTATTTATCTCTATTTTTTATGAAAAAATTGAATTCTTGTAAATTTTTCTTTTTTCATTCATTTTTTTTTTGTGAAAAATATTTTTTTTTATTAAATTATAAAATTTTATAGGAAAAGTTTATAATTAAATTCTTGATTTTTATTTATTTTTAAAAGTATAGTATACTAATAATATTGAATCATATATACGTATAATTTTTATTATTATTTATTTAATTAAGGTTTTAAATTTTTATTTTTTCAAATATTTTTATTATATGGAAAGAAGAAGGGAAGGAATGGGGAATTGTGGGTAAGTGAGAATTTCACACAATTGTACTAGATTTATGTGAATTCTATTTTAAATGAAAATCTTCGAAAATCTTTTGAATTCTACAAAAATTTATAAAAATTTTAAAATAAAAGTCCATAGAAGTCTACCAAAGACTTCTACTAATTCTATCCAAATCTATAAAAGATTCACGAAATCCACAAAAGTCATCACTTAAAAAAAGTCCAACAAAGTCTTTAAAAGTCTCAATTGAATACACCTCTCTTAGTTTGAATTCCAACTATAAATTTCAAATTTAACTTTGCACTTGATAATTATTATATTAATATTAGATATTATTTTCTATAAGTTTAAACTATTTTAATTTAACGAAGCAAACAATTTTAACATATTGATTTTTAATTTTTGAAGCATCGAGACTACATGTAGGATAATAAATCTAATAAACAAATTATCAATATGAATTTTTTTTAAAAATTATTATTTTCATAGTATTTTATTATTTTTGTATGTATTTATTGCATCTGGTTTGACCCCAATTGAATCTTTTGACCCTTCACCTTTTTCGAGTCGATAATCGGGTTGATTTTCAAAACATTGATAGAAATAAAAGCAGAGAGAGAGAGAGAGAGAGAGTTGTAAATATACAACTACATGAATCCAAGGAGAGAGATATAAGGCGTGTTTATAGAATTTATATTATTCCCTTCGTCCTATTTATAAAAGCTTTTTTTTTTTAACAAAAATTGGGAAATCTCATCTAATATTATTGAAAAAGCAATTTTTGTCAACTTATTTATATTTGAATAATTTCAAGATTAAAACAGAAAAATTGATTTTACCTATACAAGTTAAATAAGGGTATATTAATAAACGAGTAAAACAAAATATTCTCAACAAATAAATAAGACTATATAATTGGGACAAGAAAATAAGGAAAATCAACTTATATAAATAGGAAGGATGGAGTATAATTCATCGATGAGGATGGATTGTGACAGTTCCAATTTGATTATTGTTACATTGGCATTTTCACTTTCATAGGATTTTGGAATCAATGTAAAACGATGTTTGGTTGTACATTAGAAGAATAATAGAGGTGGCAATAAAATATCTGATTGCGCTCAAAAGGATCAAAAGTAAATTCTATATACAGCCAAACATGATAAAAGATTAATCATTTAATGAAATAAGATTT